TTGTGAAGTGAGTAGTTTGATAATGAGAAATTAAATGGGGTGAGAATGAAGATTTATGGGGTGGAAATAGCCCCACTCATTTGATATAAGTTTGAGTCAAAGGTTGGAACAAATTTTTTAAATTTTCTTTCTCAAAATTAAATTTGAGCTAGGATTAAAGATTCTCTAAGTAATTTTTCAAGTTGTATTTGTTTTTGTATATTTTTATGTATAGTTACCAAAAAAACTCACACCCCTTCACTAGTCTCTATGCCAGACATTCCTTATATTATTGCAATGATTTAATGGTTCCCGATGAATTAGACGAACATCTATGACTAAAAATCATTGTTGATTTTCTACGCAAAGAAAATTCGGGTGCTATATGAGTACTAAGGAAAGCTAGTCGTCTACACTAGGCATGCATGCTTCTAGCAGAAAAAGCAACCTCAAGAAAAGCCAGCCACTTCGTCTAGTTAAAGTTGGAAGTGTGTTTGTATCAAATAAAACTCAAAAAATTTAAATTTAAATGTATATTATTTTTTAAATAAGTGGGTCTTATAAATTTTTTTCAATGAAATCTATTTATCTAACATTTATTCGAGAGATAATACGCATTTGAAATGTATGTTTTTAATTTTATTTAAATTGTATAACATTTCTTTATAGAATATGACTTTATCCAAAAGGCTGATGATCCCATCATGATGCCTGCAACAACATTTACATAAAATGCTTTGTTTTTGTTTTCCTGCTTCTCATGTTCATGAATTTTTGGTGTAGCTTTCGTCATTTCTGCTGGAAGGTTAAGAGGAGGGGCCTCTAGACCAAGATGGAGCCGTGCAAAACGGTAGCCTCAGGAGATGTCAAACCCTAGCCAGCTAGCTAGCATATAGTGATGAGGATAATTTTATGTGGTCTCTATGCATTGAATCTTTAGAACCCTATCTAGCCCCTGCAATCGATAAGGTATATATGATTTGAGAAATCAAACAATCAGAACTTTTGATGAGTTTATCCATTTGAATTGATAAGTGTATTTTAAAGGGGTACTCTTTTTTGTAAGGCTTGCCAGAGTTTGCTATTCCTTCCATTTCTCTGGCATTCTTCTGCAAGCTAGCTCATTAAACATGAAACCTTCATAACCTATCCCACACACACACCCTCACACCCTCATCATTTCAATAGATTGTGGATAGGATCATCAGTGCATGTTTGAAGTACAATCAGGGACGATGGGATGCTTCATCAGTGGAGAAGTAAGTACGGATAATACTTCCAAGGAGGTAATGGAGGACACCATGATGTGGGTGACGCACGCGATGTGCAAACAAGACGCAGCAAAGTTCTCTTTTCCCTGCACTATCACAAACTTCTATGAATGCAAAAAGATTTCTAATGCACTACCACCATTGTGTCCTTCAAATAGTCCCACAGGAGCAAGAAGTGGGGTTCTGTCACTACCCAACTGAACGCGTTGTACCTTGTCGTGTTTTGACACTATTTTAAGTACTATTGTATTATAATTTTTTTTTCTGTTTATACCCAACTCATCTATAACCGTCTATGTATAAATTCCTATTGTATGTAATTGATCCATTAAAATTACATATAATCCTGTTAATTTTGTGTCGTTTGTGTCCAATGTTATCTTAGATTGGGGATTTTTTGAAAAGGAAACGAAAGATTGGCGAGGATGCGGCGAGCACCAACCTCAACAGTGGTACATGAGTTAAAGATGTCGATACTGACGTCGATTTTGCTTTCTTTCTGGATAAGTATGTTTCCTGACAGACATTCACTTGGAGCATCTCGAATTGATTGTATGGTTGAGATTCTTTCTTCTCTGTGACCACAAAAGTTTTGCTGATATCAGAGGACAAGAAAGAGACTAGCTCTCTCATTCCTTGTAATCCATTCTCTGGTCATCTTAATATGCTAATAAGAAATAACGAATGACTTTATCTTAATCGGGGTTGCGAATGACTTTTTGATATTTACAACTTGACTCGTTTTATCTTTCTGACGTTATTTGATATCCACTAGATTGTCACTAAAAAAAAAAGTCAAGGGTTTTTTCATGTTTTACGCATCATACTTTTTTATTTTGCTGGAGGTATCTAGTCTTATGCCACTACTCTTCAAATTCTAGGTCCGTAACTACACATCATACTTTATTCTCAAAATAAGAGAACAAATATGATTAACCCAGTTTTCTCAGGCACTTGTTAAGGCAGGAATAAGATTTTGTTTTTTCTGCCGGGGGACAAAGAACTATAGCAAGTGGACTATCCATGATCACGAACTTGATACCAATATAATAGTCTAAATGATCGCAATATTCATATAGAATATACGTTCTGAGTTTCAACACAGTACTGGTCTTCTTTGTGTGCTATACTGTATGGGCAGTAGGCACCATCCTATACTGATAATCACCCTCTATAAACCGAGAAAAGTACGCTTAAAAGTTTCAATTCATCACGAACGCTACCCATTAGTGCATGCTGGATGATATTTAGTTGTGACTAAGAATTGTGCTACATTATATAGACTGCTTTATAATCGTCCCCTAGCAATGAGGTAGCAGAAGCCAGTACTTGATCATTCATTCCATGAAACAAAACATTTCCTTTTCCCAGTCTTATCATGTTTTTATGTAAATGTTGATTGTCGATGTGTATTAAAACCTTTCCTGGTGGTAAATGTTGACTACATAAATTTAAGAGTAATGCAACTGACCAAAGAGTAGCAATATGGGTAATCAGTGTTTGTAAAATATGAAAAAAAATAAAAATAAAAATAAAATAAAATAAAAAGGTGTTTGTAAAATCGACCCGACCTAGAATGACAATTGAGATCTCTCACATTATACTGTGCTTTAATTTTTTTCAATGCTTGATAACTTGTAATAAATCTAAGTGGAATTCACCATCTATAAGTGAGCCCCTCATGCATCCTTAGAAATTTATATATTATTAAGTAAATTTTACAATTAAATCACTTATCCCCGAGTGTATCTTCACAGTTAGTATACAATATTCAATGAAAAATCAACTATTATATTTTTCAAATAATACATTGATTGAATCCCAAAAGGATGAAGAACAATCCAAAAAAATGCACAATAAAAACCCAAAAGAGGAGGGCTTAAGAAATTAGGCATTGTCTTTGGTAATGAAGGGCCATTTGATACATTGATTAGTAAAATCTTGAAAAAAATTAAAAAGTGGCTGTAGACATTAAAAAAAAAAATTAAGTAACAAATTAATGTCTATAATTGAGCCCAAATCAATTAGATAGATGAAATTGGGTTAAACCTAAGTTTCATAAGCCCAAATGATACAAATATAAATTTAATTAAATATGTTTGAGTTTAAACTAAATTTTACAACCCAAATAGTACAAGCCTAAACATAATTAACCAATCTTGTTAAATTAAAATGAACTTAAATTTTATAGCCTAAATTAAACAAACTTTTAAAGGTAAAGTGGGTTGGACTTAAATTCCATAAATTCACTAAAGCCTACTAATTTATGGATAGTCTACTACTTAAAGCCCATATAAGGGTATTCACGTAAAAATATTCTTCTATGAATAACTACTAGGATAACTACTCTTAAAACTATAAATAGAGATCTAGAGGAGGGCTAAGAAAAGAAGAAAATAAGGAGAAGAAGTCAAAGAGGAAGAAAGATCACTCAAAGTTCACTTTTAACTAAAGCCTTACAAGTTTATCTCCGAGAAGAAGAACATACCATCAAGGTCCTTGTTAGAGAAATCTAAATTATCTTCAAGCCATTTTCAAAACGAATAATGGTGAAGAGATTCAAAAAAAAACATCATCAAATTAAAGAATGAGATATACGTCGATCCAACTCTCGTGTTCATCAAATCTATCAAAGTTGCCACCCATTGAAGATCAAGAAACACGCCAATCAGTTTCTCATCTACACCAAATTCACCAGAAATCAGAGTACAATACATGTAAAAAGCACGATGAAGAGAGTCAACACTATATCTTTTACTTCAAGTCAATTAAATTAACTATTTTAATCTGATCTTATTTTGTGTTAATTTACACACGAAATTTGTCGTTACAATGACCAATTAAGCTAGGCCACATTAATTATGAAGTTGGCATGTTAGCGACCCTTAAAAGCAAGGAATTTTTTGCAGGGGGTCACATTTGAAAATAGAATCAATATCAAGGATCGCCTCTGCTAGGATACCAATCATATGGAAAGAGACACCAATTTTGAGAATACAAACAATTCACTCTATATATAGACCCATGGGTTTCAAGACTATACACCACAAGTTTTTTGAGTGCAACTCAGGTGCCTTCTCCTGTTACCTTCAGATGTTTTGCCATTCATTTCCAAATATAATGGATGGGAAGAAACTAGAGTACAAAGGTGAGGAGGCATTAAAGGAGCTGGAGACCTTAACAGCGAGAGCTGATGAGGTTCAAGAGTGTCTTTTAGAAGACATACTAACAAGGAATAGGAAGACTGAGTATCTGCATAACTACTTGTTGGGATCCAAAAGTGTAACAGAGTTTAAGCGTTGTGTACCAGTTATCACATATAAGGGCATTCGTTCTTATATTCAGAGGATCGGTAATGGTGAAGATTCTTCTCTTATTACCGGTCACCCCATCACTGAGATGCTATGCAGGTCTCTCTCTGTCTCTATGTCTGTGTCTGTGTGTGGTTCATTGCTCCGCTTTGTTGTTTCTGTTAATGTTTTTCATGGTTTAACTTCATGTTCTTCTGCATTTCAGCTCCGGAACGTCTGCTGGAGAACCTAAGCTGATGCCATCAATTGCAGAAGATCTAGATCGTCGAACCTTTCTATATAACCTCATCATGCCGATAATGAACCAGTAAGATGTTTATTTGCATTCAGCAATTTCTTTCAACTGATATTCAGTTTTCTAGGTTGTGTTGATTTTTCCAGTTAAAGGAACAAAAAATGTGCGTAACTCCGCTTGATTGCATACCGAAATGAATAACTTCTCGATAATTAATCTACTTCAAGAGAGGTGGACTCTAACCTAAGTCTCTTTGATCACTAGTTTACATCTTACATACACCTACTTCTGCCATAATGATTTCATAGTCTTTTTTTTTTGGATCGATTAAGTTATTAAGTTTGATTTCTTATAAGAAGTTATAACAAAATAACAATAAAATTATGGTGCGATCTATTGAAGTTACGATTACTTTTGAGTGCAGTTATAACCCTAAAAGATTAATTAGTGCTACAAAATGTTCCGATTAATTCTAATCTTTTACAATCGATTCCTAACAATTTCACTTTGTCACCACCTCACAAATGTAAACTTTGTCCTCATCATTGTCTATACCAGATATGTCCCCGGTCTGGATGAGGGTAAGGCTATGTACCTCTGCTTTGTCAAGGCAGAAATGTCCACTCCTTGTGGCTTACCTGCTCGGGCTGTTCTAACCAGCTACTACAAGAGCAGGCACTTCAAATGCCGCTCAAGAGACCCCTACAACGATTTCACCAGCCCCGACGAAGCCATTTTGTGCGAGGATAGTCATCAAAGCATGTACTGCCAGTTGCTCGCCGGCCTCCTCCACCGCTACCAAGTCCTCCGCCTCGGAGCCGTCTTTGCCTCCGCTCTTCTCCGCTCCATCTCCTTCCTCGAACACCACTGGATCACCCTCTGCAACGATATCCGGTCTGGCCATTTGGACCCATGATCACCGACCCGAAATGCCGATCAGCCATGTCAGTCATACTCGTATCACCGGACCGACAACTAGCCGACGAGATTGAGGCCATCTGTGGCCGTCCATCGTGGAAGGGAATAGTGTGTCACCTTTGGCCTAAGGCTAAGTACATTGAGGCTGTGGTGACAGGGTCCATGGCACAATATATATCATCTCTTGAGTACTATAGTGATGGGAAGTTGCCATTGGTGTGCACCATGTATGCTTCATCTGAGTGTTATTTTGGTGTGAATTTGAAACCCTTATGTGACCCTGCGGATGTGTCATTCACTCTCTTGCCCAACATGGGTTACTTTGAATTCATACCTTTGGGAGATAATGGAACACTGTTAATGGATATGGATGAAGATGAAGAGGTGCCCCCCAATAAGCTTGTCGACCTGGTGAATGTTAGACTTGGTTCTTACTATGAATTGGTGGTTACCACTTTCTCTGGTAAGTATAATGATTTTTTTTTTTGGGGTAAGCTTTTGATTATCTATGGTCTAATCTAATGAGTAACACACACATATTATCTTTCTACTTTAAAAATCTACATATAACTCTTATAGTTTTAGATTAAACTGACACCGTTAAATAATTCTATTACTAACGACAAATTAAGTTAGCATTTAATATTAAGTAATACTATTTACACTTAAAAATTTGATATAATTTGTTGACTTAATGATGTAATTTCAGTGAATTATTAAATTAACATTAAGTTTTAATGTTTGATGAAGACCACAATCAATCCAAAAAATATAGTACTTTAGGTCAACAAATTAGATCAATAAAATAAGTTTGCATTGCTCGTAAATATTTCCATGTTAAATTACGTTTATATTTATTTTTCTGAGATATTCTGTAGTTCGTATTGTAGATTTTTCAATTCATATAGAATTAGAAAACCTAAAAAAATAGGGAAAGCTGAAGGATACTGATGTTTTTTGTACTAAATTATTAAACTCCATTAGTTGTTATACTCTAGCTTAAATCACATGGAGATATTATATGGGTTATCCTTTTTTTATAAATTTATTTTCTGTTGGATTTCGTTCTATGCTTAAAAACTTGTATCAAAATAAAGCTCTATTTTTGGTGGATTAATCAATCAGGACTTTATCGGTATCGCATTGGTGATGTGCTCCAAGTGACAGGATTCCATAATCGAGCCCCACAGTTTCGTTTCATCTGCAGGAGAAACGTCGTTCTCAGCGTTGATAACGATAAAACCAATGAAGAAGACCTACACAGGAGCATCACAGTGGCAAAGAGACTCTTGGAACCCTACAATGCCCTCCTGGTGGAATACACTAGCTCTGCCGATACATCATCTGTACCAGGGCACTATGTGATTTACTGGGAGATCACACATTGCACATCAATGGCAGACAAGGTCACCCCTGTCGATCCCGGGGTGTTTCAAGATTGCTGCATAACCATTGAAGAAGAACTTGATTATATCTACAGGCGCTGTCGGGCTCACGACAAGTCCGTCGGGCCATTGGAGATTCGAGTAGTGAAGCCCAGGAGTTTTGAATTGTTGATGGATATGTTAATCAACCAAGGAGGGTCAATTAACCAGTATAAAACTCCAAGGTGCATTAAGTCTAGTGCTGCACTTAAACTGTTGAACTCCAATGTGAAGGCTAGCTTCTTTAGTCCTAGGGATCCTTCTTGGACCCCTTGAATTTGCAACTAGAATAATGAGAATGACCCAATTTTCCTTCACTTGGATTTGTGTTCTGGGACTTAATAAATGATCATGTGATTCAGAAGCATCATTTGCCACTCTTGTCCTCTCTGCTGCAATATTCTATTTCTTTTCTTTTTTCGAGCGTTAAAAGTGTCCACATTAATTTACGTGCACTTCGACTAATTTTATCTTCGATTTAGTTAAAAACAGACCATTTACATTGAGACTAAAGTATTCATGAGAGATAAATTTCTTATGTCCTGGCTCTAAAAAATTACCAAGATTTGAATTCAAAATATCTGAATTTACAATTTGCCTCTATTACCACTTGAGCTATACCTTTAAATTTGCGATACTCTATTTCAGACTATTCCATGGTTGTCAATTTTTTCCGTAGACATTGACCAACTCGACACAAAACGATACAACCAACAAATGGAAATTAATAATAATTTAATCGGGTTAATTGTAACTGCAAATAATTCATTTAAATGGTACTGCACAAAAAAAATAATTTTTTTTATAGTATTCATTTATTGATGTAGTCTCGTATGACCTAGTGGTCAGTGTCTTTCCCGCTTTATCTCCTAGTGCAAAGTGCGAATCTCATCAAGTCCCTCTCCCTGTATGAATAGTGACCAAAAAAAGACTATGGACCCTCTTCCCTCAACCGCATTACGCTATGTACTTCATCAACAGTTAGGCCTTCAACCTGGTGATTTTCATGTTTTCTTGTAAGAGATTGTACATGATGTGGCATAAAGTAAAATGGGTAAAGATGGTCTGAACTTTGAAGAGCAGCAAGCAGCGGAAAGTAGCGCACCAATGTTCAGAAATTCATGTACTCATATCATCCTCAGACAAAATACAACATCATGACTGTTGTGGCAAAGAAACCCACATACTGAACAGCATACAAGAATGCTTTCCTGCTATATTCTAACTTCAAATGTGCAGCACGTTATTGTGAAGTGAAAAACTTGAGATTGTTTTAGCGCTCGATTGCACGTTTGGCACCATCCAAGGTATTCTTGAGCAGCATTGCGACGGTCAATGGTCCCACACCTCCTGGAACTGGTGTTATCCATCCAGCTACCTTACATGCTTCCTTAAAATCAACGTCTCCCACAAGTCTGTAGCCAGATTTTTTACTCTGATCATCTATGGCATTTACCCCGACATCAATAACTGCAGCACCGGGTTTGATCCAGCTGCCTTTGATCTGAGAATTGGATAGTTAAATCAGTCAAACGTACTCATAATGAAGAAATAAATCAAGCTTGTATGCAAAGCTAAAAATGCAGCTTTTTGGAGTGGGCTATGATGTAAATATCATCCAGTTACCCATTGCCAAACCAATGATGGCAATGTTGCATCTGATGCATACAGGAAGGTGGCTCCAGAACATGAGGTTCTTAACTGAGAATAGTGTTGTCTCACTATCTATGATAGGAATCTACCACTGCTTTGTATGACATACTAGGTGGAAACAAATCAAAGAGCTGAATTTTCATGAAACAAATGAGGAAATGAACAATACTAAATTGCAAACAGAGACAACAGTGTCATCATAAACCAAGGAACAATCAATCCTATAAACAGTTTTTAGTACCATCATTGCTTGTCCTGCTGCAGCAATAACGATATCTGCTTCCCGAATGATACTCTCTGGATCAGGAGTATGGGAGTGGACAACAGTAACTGTGGCATCTGCCTTCAGAAGTAGCAGCGAAACTGGTAATCCAACTATGTTGCTTCGACCCACCACTACTGCCTTCTTTCCCTTTACACTAACACCACTTCGTGCCAGAAGTTCAAGACATCCCTGTTGACAATCATTATTTCATAAGACCAAAGGTGGTATTTAAGTTACAACAGGTATGACACATTTAAGAATCTCTTGAACCAAAAGGTTTGTTTCACACAATAGGTTAAAGACGTTCAGCTCAGAGTGAGCACATCAAATTGTTTCATATTAATATATTGCCTTTGGGGTGCAAGGAAGGAACAGAGGTTCTCTGCCTTTCATAGCAAGTTTGCCAATGTTCAGAGGATGAAAGCCATCTACGTCCTTCTCAAGGCTGATTTCACTTAGAACTTTCTCTTCATTTATATGATTTGGTAGTGGAAGCTGGATTAATATACCTGCAGCAAACAAAACATGCCATCAAGATTTTCTTGCTTACAACCATGGCTTAACCAGGTATTTCAATTAAAACGAAAGGCAATTCATAAAACAATGAGCTTGAGCATGTATGTCCCAGATGCCATATAAGTTTTTGTTTCAATACCTGCTTAAATGGATAAATTGTAGCTTTTCAGGATAATAGAAGAAACTAACAACATTTGGCCAATCTCAAGTCTTACCAATATTTGAAAAGGAACAAGAATTATATAGAGATAGAGGTAAAAAGTCTCACAACAACTGATAGATGTCGGTATTATACAAAATCCTTTATGCATATGTGCGACAAGGTTGGTTTTGCAGATATGATGTGTATCAGTAAACAAAAACTTAATCCACACACATATAACTTAGACCAGAAACTGCCAACTATAATTGCCAGGTAATTGTTGATAGTTTTAAGTTTATATAAGCGTATGAGTTTGACCACTGCATGGTTAATAACAATTTTTATGACAATATTCATAAAATGTAGTTTGACTTTGACAAACAGATGTTTTCTGGTATAGGCCAAAATAATTGTGGAAGTGATTAAAGTTCTTCTCAAAATGGACAGTATTGCAATTCAAGAAAGTGGCTCCTAGAAATAGAATATATATGAGGCATGCTTAAGACACTTTGACCCTGAGGTCAATGTGTTGCCTGGAAAGTCACAATAGGCGTGGGATGTAATGTGACACAATCCTGCAACATCAATAAAATACTTTACTCCCATATAAGGTGATGTTTCCAATTTAAATTCTAAGTAATGGCTTCAGCTTAGATGATGGAATCGTGCCAATGGTACACAAAAATAGCTAACTATATGTAACAAAATAATTTAGTTGCCCAAAACTTATTAATTTAGAGATAATAAGTGGAGTAAATTTGCCAAAAAGAAATTAGACATGTAAAGAAACATACAGAATGCAGAAGATATTCACAGATATGTTACTTCACACTAGGTAAAAATGATAAGCAGCATATAAATTCGACATCTGTTTTTACTACTAACTAACCAACCGTGTACATCAGCTTGTGCATTCAGCTCGTGAACTTTGGTGATCAACTCGGCTTCAGGTACTTGCTCTGGCAGATCAATATCAAAGGACTTAATCCCAACTTCAGCACATGCCTTTCTCTTCATATTCACATAGCTTTGAGAGTCCTTCCTATTTCCTACAATGACTACAGCCAGCCCTGGAACCTATAATTTCAGGCAAGAGCAACATTATGTTGACCATTTATTCCATGTAAAACACACAATCATATGTAATTTAAGTGTCTTGAGTCAACTCTGAAGGTTGGGTGCAGAAGCATTGCTTCTACTTTATGCTTCCACTACATGTCCCCATATCCAAATCCTTAAGGATAGATATAATTTAAAAACATACGGTTTAAAACATATGCGTAAGTTTTTTTAAGAAATCTGTACTAGTTGAAAACTTCTGTCTTTGATTACTCAAATGCCTACTTACAAACCAATAGCTCAATTTCTCAAAGGGTTAATGTATGAATAGTCAACTGTATCGTGGCGCAAATGACGAGGAGCGACATCAATTCAGGAAAAGTTAAACTTTATATAAAGCAGACATAATCCGGTAAAGGTGCTAGGACATCTCCAATCCTTACTCAAATTGAAATTTGAGTAAAAATTGATTAAAAATAAGCTCCAGTCTTTGACTCAAACCTATACCAAATGAAGGGACATTCAAATTTTTATTCAAATTAAGAGAGACTCAAATCTTTAATGGTTAGATTTCACTCTTTTAAAAGATCCAATTGTCATATTTCAAATTCTTTTAAATTTGAGTTTGCTCTAGTTTAAATTTGTATTTGCCCTTCTTTAAATTTGAATTTGTTTATTAGAGTGTGTTGTATCAAATCAAATTTTTTCCTCAAAATGTTAACTCAAACTTGAGTAAACATTTGAGTCAACATTGGAGATGCCCTTATGAATTATATTCACTTCATCACCATGTTCAATGTATAAGTGTATATCAAATTCCCATAAAAAAAAAAAAAAAAAGAGTCAAAAGCCAATTCCACGATAGTTCAATCATGCTTCCAAAGTTAGAAATGTGCACATGTGAGAATTAATTTCATGTTATGTGAAAATCCTTTACGGAAGATTGACAAACAGAAATTAAATCCGTATGGCTATACTAAATGGATCGTTTAACAATACTTATCAACTGTATCATGAGATGCAGTATCACGATTTTATGCCAAATTTTTGTTCAGGAAAAAGAATTTCGAATGAACTAAAACTCAGCAGCTCATAAATCATCAAGCTATGCCATATACAAATCAATAAGTCATAGCAGCATAAACACACACACACACACAGAGGACCTTGCTGTAATTCTGGGAAAGAAGGCGGACTTGGGAGGCAATTTCAGATCGGATGGTCTGTGCGATTGCTTTGCCGTCGATTATGGTGGCCTTATGATCAGACGGCAACGGCGATGCCATTGTAGTCTTACAACCTTCTTCTTTGCAATGAACAGGAAGGACTAAAATCGAAGGACCGTTGATTTATCAGGAATGAAAGGAAGTATGAAACCCCCGGTTGACGATTCAGTCTGTGCGGTCAAATAAATAGAGATTCGTAATCAGTTATCCACCAACCACTGCCCTGCCCTCCGACTCTAGTAGACCGGACTTAGATGACAAACTGTTTTTGGGGGCCCAAGTATCTTGATAAAGCCTATTTTGTAATAAAGTTGGGCCGACTCTGCATATTTTTCCATGGTAAGCCCATTTCAAATGCAACTTGGGGCAATGTTGATGTAGTAGCCCATTTATTTCTTCGTTGTTGTACTCTTAAAGAGTTTAGTCAGTCAGTCTTATTTCATTTGGGAAAAGCCCACTTTATATACATAGAGAACTCCATAAAAACAAGAAGAAAAAAGAAAACTAAAGTTGCACTTTTCAGAGGTGTTTTAAATGCATCAATGGGATGGCAACAGTGAGTGAACGGTTCAAGTCATAAGGGAGGTAAATTGTAAGGCTAAACCAAATTATATTTATCCCGTAAAAAATATAAACTAAAAAATATAGGGTTATTAAGTACTTAATTTTGATACTTATTTGTATTCAAGTACATAATTTGAATTTATCTATTTTTGTTATGACATTTTTACCCTCTATTAATCTATGTGTATTTAATGCACCACTTTTCTTTGAAAAGTAATGTATTAAACATCTTCTAATTTTATGGGAGGCTTTTAATATATATATATATATATACGTTTTTATATATACATAAATACATATTTTTATATAAATATACATAAATACACACACACATATATAAATACTTATGTATGTATGTATGTATATATTTGTTGTTAAATCTCTTATCTAAATTTTGAATTATCTTTTAATGCACCTTGATTCATTCATTTTTTTTAGAAAGTGATTTTATTTTCAAATTAATTTAATATTCGAATATTGTAATAATATAAAGTGTAACAGTGTAATACCAACAATGTAACAGGATAACAATAATAGTGTAACAAGCTATTTACACAAAATATTATACTATTACATTTTGACAAACATATAGTTTCATATAATTTCATTCAAAATAGTTTATCTCCGTTTTGAATTTGTTCTCATATACACAAAATTACTAAACATTGTTTTTGTTACAGTATATTTGTTACACTATTATTGTTATACTATTGCATTATTCAGATATTAAATTAATTTAAAAATAAAATTATTTCCCAAAAAAAAAAAGCTTGAATTAAGATGCATTAAATATAATTTGAAAACAAAATCACTTTTAAAAAATAAATATGCATGAATCAAGGTGCATTAAAGATAATTCAAAATTTAAATAAGAGATTTAATAACAAATATATATATATATATATATATATATATTCGTATATTTGTTAATGAGTAATGCTAGATGGACTTAAGAAGTACACTTAAAAACTAGACTTGATAATCTCAACTATTGAATAGGTAGTGAGTTCCAATAAATGTTAGGACCCACAATAAATCAATGGTTGTAATTATCAAGTCTAATTTTTAAGTCTACTTCTTAAGTTTATGAGTAATGTTATATAAAAAGTAGACTTAAAAATTAGACTTGATAATTACAACTATTGATTTTATTGTGGGTCCTAACATTTATTGGAACCCACTACCTATTCAATAGTTGAGATTATCAAGTCTAGTTTTTAAGTTTACTTCTTAAGTCCATCTAGCATTACTCTAAGTTTATATAGCATTACTCTTTGTTAATATATATATATATATATGTGTGTGTGTGTGTGTGTATTAATAAATACACATGAATCAAATGTGCATTAAATACGCATTTATATGTATTAATAAACACACATGAATCAAGGTGCATTAAAGATAAGAGATTTTAAATTAAATGATCCTAAAATAGGTATTTATGTCTTTTTAACTCATATTTTGTTTTATGTACTTTTTGTCAAATAAATCTAATTAGGTATACCGACTTTCAAAAAACCAAAGACTTTATATATGACTGTGGCCCTGCCCAAACAAAGGGGACTGGCCCGGACATTCTCTAATGGCCTGTAGGCCTATTTGTGGTCCTTCACAACTCAAGAACTCCTAGAAGTAAGACTGATAATTTAGCTGAGCCTGTTGAGCTCATTTTTTTAAAAGATATTGAATTTTTTTTTATTTACGACTCGTTTAGAAAAATGAGTTGAGTTCGAGTCAAACCCGAATAACTCGATTATTTTAAATATAAACAAGTCGAATTTTGCAAGTTTGAACTGAGCATTTTAAGCTCATTTTTAAAATGAGTCTAAAAAATTATTCAAGTTTATCTTGTTTAGAACATAAATTGAATTTGAATTGAGTCATATTCAAGTCGAACCCAAATAATTTGACTTAATTATTAGTCTTACTCAGAGTAGTCATGGGTTGAGTGGCAAGCTTGCAGGCTGACTTAGGCATTTCATGGGATGGCATGGCCCAAGCTCAACCCAACCCGACCAAAAGTTTTTTGGGCTGACCCTGTCCCATGGGCTCTAAAAAGAATCTCTCCCTCTCTCTCTCTCAAGCACAAGATCCAAGTTGATGGAATCTAATACGGTAATGGATCTAGATCCGTGTTTTGTGTTTTTATAGAATTAAAAATAAAACAATTCACGAAAATATGCTAAAAGCTTCAATGGCATTATTCTTTTTTTTTTTTTTAACACCAATTGCATGATTCACAGAGATGTACTTGGGTGTTCATACATTTATTGCGAACTACAAAGTTCAATAGATACCTCTTGCCCATGAGCCCATAATAAAACATTTGACATAATTTTCATTAAATACAAATTAATGAGTTTTCCCAAAAAAAAAAAAAAAAAATACAGATCGATGATCCTAGGGGTGGTAAATGAGTGGGTTGAGTTAAATTGGATTGGGTTAAAATAAATCAAATATATTTTTCACTCATTTAGTAAATGAATTATAGTGAGTTGAGTTTATAACGGGTTGGATTAAACTGATTAACCCATAAAATAATTAAAATTCTTAATAGACACATTAGTACACTAAAACACACATACATATTATTAATACACCAAAATACAAATATAAACAAACACACTAATACGCCAAAACACACACAAATTAATACATTAAAAATATACATACTAATACACTAAAATATATACTAATATACAAAAAATGCACACACGAAAACTAAAACACAAGTTATGGGTCATAAGTCGACCTATGGGTTATGAGTTAACCCATGATCATGGGTCGATCCATAAGTTATGGGTCAACTCGTGGGTCATCGGTAGTATATTTGTGTGTGTGTTTTTGGTATATTGGTGTGTGAATATTTTAGTGTATTAGTGTATATGTGTGTATTTTTTGATGTAATAGTGTGTATATTTTTTGTATATTAATATATTTATTTAATTTTATTACTTATGTTATTTAATAAAAAGATAAATATTCAACCTAATGAATACTCATTTGTAATTCATATTAACCTGCTTAATTAAAATAAATCATATTATTTAACCCATTTAAAACTCATATTAATTAATATAGGTATTCAACTTATTTATTTATAGATATATTAGACAGATTAATGAGTAATGAGTTAAGATTGTCACCTCTAGATGATCCTATAGCGACTCAAAGCCTAGTTGTGGCTCGATGACCCCAAAAATATCATCCTTCTGATGGGGGTTTTCTAAATCGAACCCCCAATTTCTTCTCTCATTTTTCTTAGAAATTGAGACTCCGAATCCCTTTAAAGTCCCATTTTCGGCCATGGTCACCGTCGCGGCCCCACTAGGTCGCTATGTGATCATTCTCTTCGACTCATGGATCGAAGAGCAATTGTTGGAGAGATGTTGAGGCTTCATCGTCAAAAAGATTAAAGCTTGTTAGGCCAAGATATTTAGGGGTATTCACCGTACAGAAATTATGATATTTCATCTTTATACTTGATATTTTACAAAAAAAAAAAATATTCTTGTTCTACTCTACCTGATCAAGTGTACTATTTCTACTTGAATTTCGTCCAAAACAATAGGTGGGAAGTCGGATTAGAAATCGAGATAAACACAATTTTTATTTATTAATTTTTGGATCATTTTAATAATTTAATTAAGTAAGCTACACCAATTAATTAACACAATAAACTAATAATACTAAAGAAAACACAATAAATTCGATAATAAATAAACAATTACAATAAAACATAAAAAAAAAACTATAAACATTAATATATCATATAAAAGAAAGATATAAATATCAATAAAATATTAAAATTTCTAGATTTTTAGATTTTAATTTTTAGGGATTAGCATATATATATATAAAAGATAGGAATACATAAATTTTGTAGGTATTTTACATTCTTACCCGATTTTTTATAAAATATCAAAAATCTTTCAATAGCCTACCCAATTTTTTCGAATAGTTACTTAATTGAATCAAATAAAATAATATAAAATTAAAATTTACAAATAATCAAAAATTTAAACACCCCTTACAAATATTGAAGTCAGATACAAGACTTTGGGTGCATATTATTAGAAAGAGTGTCCATTACCGAGAATGGGACTAGGGAATAAAGTGGTGGTAGGGCCCACATGTCCTGGTAGGGTAGGTTAGATTCTTCATGTTTGTGGATTTTTTTTTATTCAATCATGTTTGTGAATTACAGTTCGACCTTTTTTATTTTATATTTTTGGTTTAACGGACATTTGAATCATGATTAATCTCTTTCTTGGTCTGAGTAAAAACAGGACATCCACATCGAAACTTCGATATTCATGAAGAGGTAACTTAAGTGATAATAGGGACAAATTATAAACCCGATGTTTTAAGTTTTAATATTGGTAACTCTTTGGGTTCAAGTCATGAAAAATTTATTTTTTATAAATATCTTGTATTTAATCGGACCGAAAAAAAAATTAATCAATCTGTAAGTTGATTTAACCTCCCTGACAATTGAAATAATAAATAAATAAAATAAACTCGATTCCTATCTATAACAACTCCCATGGCTCATTGAATAAGACAGAGGTAGATGAAAGCACGATACCTAGGATCCTCGGGCCCATGACATTCCAGCCCAATTCTAAGGGGTTTTAC